GTTAAGCCCAACCAGCCATTTCTCCCCATCCCCACACATTTCTCTCCACTTGCGCTCTCACATCATCACACAAACATGCACATAGGACCTTGGGGGGTGGACAAGTCAGGGGGTGCAGGTATGGACCCCATTTCCGCATTCCTGTGGCAACCTGCCCCCCAATTTTATTTGCACCTTAAACACTTCCACCAACGACATTCCACACAAACACACACTTGGGGCCTTGGGAGTAAGCACATTCAACGGCACTTGGCAGGGGGATATCTCAGCCTCATCCCAAGTGCCGGTGCCCACTTCCAATTTTAAACTGCACTTAGACACTGAGGGCTGTGGGTGTAAGTGGGGTAGTCTGGTGGCATCAGCTGGCATAGGCCAGACAATGCCCACATTGCCCGCTCACCACAACCATGGAATACACCTCATCAACACTCACTAACACCATATTGGAGCAGGCGGAGGGAGACTAGCGGTTTTAGCACACTTCTGTTGTTGCTTGGCTTCCTGGGGCTGGAAGCTAGGTGGGCGATCCGGCTGTCCAGTTGGGGTCTGGGGTGGTGGGTTGCTGTGCTCAGCGTTGGGCGGGGGGGGGGGGGCTGCTCATCAGCACCCCAGCAGAAAGGGTTGAACACTGGTAACCGGTGATGGTTGTACCCAATGTGCAGCAGTACCGGGACCAGAGTGAATAGGGTGTGTATGGGGAGCATGAGTGGGTGTCCGGCATGCATTTTTGTAAGTCTTTGGTTGTATGTGTATGTGTGAGCATGAGGGAGGGAGTGTGTGGCTGTGTTTGTGTATGACTGTATATGTCAGGTGGGGCCTTTGACTCCTCCCTTCTCCTGGGACTTCTATTGATGATATAGATCTTCGTCTCCCCTCTCCCTGCCACACTTGGTGTGGAGTGCGGTGCCTTGGTCTGCCTGGGTCGTGGCTCCCGGGTCAGGGAGTTTAAGATTTTTGGCATCTGCCTGACCAATCCCGGTGGCTGCCTGGTGGGGTCTGGGCCCCTGGGCTCTGCTGGGTCCAGGGCGGGGGTGGTCACCCCTGGGTCCCAGGTCGCTGGGTCCCGGGCTCGGCCGGCTATGGGGTGGGAGGCTGCGGGCGGGCCTGTGGGCTTGCCGCCGATATCTCCCGGGACTCTGCCGGCTGCTGGTTGTGGCCCCCCGGGGCGATCCTCTGCGCCTCTCGAGGGGGGCGGGGGCTTTTCTGGTCGCAGTCTCCTTGGGGTTCCTGTGCTCTGGGGCAGCTCCTGGATCTCTGGGACTTGGAGCTCCCTCTGTCTCCTACACATCTTTAGGGGGCGGACCTGTGGTCCCTCACACTCTCTGTTGGACGCTCCTATAGAGAAACCTTACATAAACAAGCGCGTGTACACACACAGGTGCTCACATGGTGCTCTCATATGTATGGGCTTGGGAACGTTCAACACATGTCTTAAGACTGTGGTTGGCACTTAATGCACTGTGATTTATTAACATGTGATTGTTCAGTTAAACAATGTTGATTATATATTCCTCCATCAAGTTGACGCAGTGATAGCTTGATCTTGTTGTATTGTTGTTGTGTCCCATTGTTTTTGTTTGTTTTTTTCTTCTCTCTTTCTGCAGGTCTAGATGCAGACTCTTGTTCATTATTGTTTATTTTTGTGGAACACCCCTGTATTATTTCCTGCTATTTCAGCTGTTAACTTTATTTTTTCTCTAAGTGTTTTTCTCCCCAGAAGAAGCTGCAACGATGTTCTGCTGAGCTGTGGTGGCCTCATGGAGGGGGCCATCGTCTAGCACACTGCTGCTAACCACTTAGACATTCTCCCTCTCCTGATAATAAGTTTTTACTCTCTTTGTCGTTGGATGTGCTACTACTAGTTTATCCGTTTAATTATGGATTCACTAGGATAAATACAATAAAGTCTATCTCTCACCAAATACAGGTGCTGGCCAGTAAATTAGAATATCATCAAAAGGTTGAAAATATTTCAGTAATTCCATTCAAAACGTGAAACTTGTACATTATATTCATGCAATGCACACAGACCAATGTATTTCCAATGTTCATTACATTTAAATTTGATATTCATAAGTGACAACTAATGAAAACTCCAAATTTGGTATCTCAAAAAATTAGAATATTCTGAAAAGGCTGAATATAGAAGACACCTGCTGCCACTCTAATCAGCTGATTTACTCAAAACACCTGCAAAGGCCTTTAAAAGGTCCCTCAGTCTTGTTTTGAAGGCACCACAATCATGGGGAAGACTTCTGACTTAACAGCTGTCCAAAAGACAATCATTGACACCTTGCACAAGGAGGGCAAGACACAAAAGGTGATTGCTAAAGAAGCTGGCTGTTCGCAGAGCTCTGTGTTCAAGCACATTAACAGACAGGCGAAGGGACGGAAAAAATGTGGTAGAAAAAAGTGTACAAGCTCTAGGGATAACCGCACCCTGCAGAGAATTGTGACGACAAACCCATTCAAAAATGTGGGGGAGATCCACAAAGAGTGGACTGCAGCTGGAGTCAGCGCTTCAAGAACCACCACGAGGAGACTCATGAAAGACATGGGATTCAGGTGTCGCATTCCGTGTGTCAAGCCACTCTTGAACAAGAAACAGCGCAAGAAGCGTCTCGCCTGGGCCAAGGACAAAAAGGACTGGACTGATGCTGAGTGGTCCAAAGTTATGTTTTCTGATGAAAGCAAGTTCTGCATTTCCTTTGGAAATCAAGGACCCAGAGTCTGGAGGAAGAGCGGAGAAGCACAGAATCCACGTTGCATGAGGTCCAGTGTAAAGTTTCCACCGTCAGTGATGGTGTGGGGTGCCATGTCATCTGCCGGTGTTGGCCCACTCTGTTTCCTGAGGTCCAGGGTCAATGCAGCCGTCTACCAGGACGTTTTAGAGCACTTCATGCTTCCTGCTGCTGACCAACTTTATGGGGATGCAGACTTCACCTTTCAACAGGACTTGGCACCTGCACACAGTGCCAAAACCACCAGCACCTGGTTCAAGGACCATGGTATCCCTGTCCTTGATTGGCCAGCAAACTCGCCTGACCTTAACCCCATAGAAAATCTATGGGGTATTGTGAAGCGGAGGATGCAATACGCTAGACCCAACAATGCAGAGGAGCTGAAGACGACTATCAGAGCAACCTGGGCTCTCATAACACCTGAGCAGTGCCACAGACTGATCGAGTCCATGCCACGCCGCATTACTGCAGTTATTGAGGCAAAAGGAGCCCCGACTAAGTATTGAGTGCTATACATGCACATTCTTTTCATGTTCATTCTTTTCAGTTGGCCAACATTAGAGAAACAAACATTTTTTCATTGGCCTTTAGAATATTCTAATTTTCTGAGATACCAGATTTGATGTTTTCATTGGTTGTCACCTATAAATATCAAAATTAAACGTAATAAACATCGGAAATACATTGGTCTGTGTGCATTGCATGAATATAATGTACAAGTTTCACGTTTTGAATGGAATTACTGAAATATTTTCAACCTTTTGATGATATTCTAATTTACTGGCCAGCACCTGTATTAGTAAATACCAAATTTACTAAGAAATCTCAATGTAACCATAGAAACACTACTTGGTATATATATATATATGTATTGTGTGTGTGTGTGTGTGTGTGTGTGTGTGTGTGTGTGTGTGTGTGTGTGTGTGTGTGTGTGTGTGTGTGTGTGTGTGTGTGTGTGTGTGTGTGTGTGTGTGTGTCTTCTCCATCCCCAGTGAGTCGTGGAGGATGGCTGCTTATACTGAGCCAGGATTCTCTGGAGGTTTCCTCCTGTTAAAAGGGAGTTTTCCTCTCCACTGTCGCTGCATGCTTGCTTAGTATGAGGATTGCTGTATAGTCACTGACACTAGTCAGTGACTCGATGCAATTTGCTGGGTTCCTTATATAGGAAACATTATTTCTGATTGGCTTAATGAACTGTGAATTGGAATGTTTATTATGTGAAGTGCCTTGAGACGACTCTTGTGATTTGGCGCTTTATAAATAAACTTGAACTGAATTGAATTGAATTGAAAAGAACAGGACAGGTGTTTCCAGGATTTTGCATTTCTGAGATGATTAAAATTATTCTTCCCCAGAAAAAACATTTCATTTGTTGATTGTCATCAGGTTCCAGAAAAAGTATCATACTGCACCTTTAAAATATAAAATCTCTGTGGAGGAAACCTCTTGTGTTTTTCTTTGATACCGAACGTTGCTTTACTCCGACAGCCAGCAACATCCACACGTCCTCGTCCACCCGTGTCATTCCCGTGCCTTGCAGCCAGTTTTTGACCTGCGTGGCCTCCATTTTAGCAGAAAGGAGCAATTTACAAAATGGGCTGTGTGCATTTTGGCAGAAGTCTGAATATTTATTTGTTTTGTTTTCTTCCTCCTTCCCCTCCATCCTTCCGTATCTCAGTCTCCTGCTCTTGCTTAGCTGAGATAAGGGGATTTAAAGTGTTCTCTTACATCTCTTTGAAAGACCTGCCAGTCTGTTTCCAGGTAATCAGATGGAAACAAAACTGTGTTCAAAGTCCGAGCCGGGCTGCAGCCACAGAACAAGCAGACTCCCCGGTGACTGGCATTGTTCAGGAAAACACGGAGCGGGCCGCCTCTGCCTCCCTTTGATGTGTTTTCTTACATTTTCATCTCAAACTCTGAACGTACAAGCGTCATTTATATCTGCTCTCAGTCACGGCTAAGCTCCACTGTCAGTCACTGATTGTGTGAAATCCATCATAGCCAATTTGTGAGCCCTCATTTAGGCAGCAAACAAGCGCGTATGCCACGCTGTCAGTCAGACAAAACGGAACCATCTGGAGCTGCGTTTGAGTTGTCGTCATGAGCAACATAATGGCCTCTCAGGATGAGATGCCACTGAAGAGAAACTCAGACTGCGTTTGCTAATGCTGCAGTATAACGTTGCTCCCTGGGGTGGACGGGGGAAATCAAGATGCTTTTGCTCACGTACATCTGGTGCTGTCTCTGCTTTAATTGGAGGCATTCGACGGATACGCCAACTGGCAGAGAACACCAGGTACTTCAGAGCCAGGCTGAAGGAGATGGGCTTCATCATCTACGGCGGCGATGAGTCGCCAGTGGTTCCACTTCTCCTCTACATGCCAGCCAAAGTGGTGTAAGTACGCCTAAACTCGAACCCGCACAAGCAAAACAATCTGGTTACTCATGATGCTTCAAATGGTTGCAAACCGTTAAATATTAACCTCGGAGACTCGTGGTGTCACGAGTGATTTCTGGTTCGCTCATCTCGTATCATCTCTAAGTGGTGTGGATGGCAGCCATTTTGCTTTTTCTGAGCATTTCCAAGAGTCTGTAACCACTTAAGAGATGACATCAGGTAGAGATCAGATATATAACTGGACCGTTTGATCCACTCAGGAACAGAATTAATTAGTTCTGAAGTGTTTTTCAGCACCGGTTTCAGTTATTATCCATCCTATCCAGTAATATTTCTGATGGTGTCTCATGAAGCCAGATCTCACAGATCTTATTCTCACTCATCCTAGCAACAAATCCATTTTAAACAACTCTGCTTGTTCAGTTTCCACTGAGAGAATATTTTAATTTTCTGAACACAATTCCAATTTATAAATGTTTATGTCAGATTTTCCTGTGAAAGAAGTCAAAAGGGATCATTTCGAGAATACATTATTTTCTTATAGATTTAAAGGGGAAATGTTATGCAAAACTCACTTTTGACTCCTTTTGTAGCGATCTACTGCTTCTAAAAACCCATCCATTAATTTTCTGTCACTGTTTGGTTTCATTAATTCTTTGCCCAAAACAAGCTGTTTCAAAAAGCCGCCGTTTGTGATGTCATAAACGTGGAAATTATGATAGAACCGGCCCTCATGTGCAAGAGAGAGCTGCTGCTGAAAGAGCAGCGGCTCTACTCCAAGCACCTCCCAGATATCGGAGCTTCTCAGATTATAGCAGCCTGAGCGGTGGATGGGTGGACGTGGTCAGCTCCAGCTTGTTTTCTTTAACTGACAGAGCCCTGAAATGGTTCATTCTGGAAGGCACTGAAAATGTCAAGAATAAAAGTGCTGAGATAACTTTATATGAGAGGGACTTAGTGCAACAAAAACTCCTTAAACATCTTTTATGAGTCATAGAACTATTATACCTTAAGATAAAAAGGTACAATGTGTCCCCTCTAAAAGGGGATATGAAACTAAACCTGCACTAATGCAAAGACCTACAATACCCACAATGCCTTGTGTGAGTGAACTACTGTGACTTTATTTATTGGATGGTTGCATTATGACAGTGATGGTATAAAATATTAATATTGGATTGAATGTGTGATTGAAACCTTTCTAGTTTCAACTCGATTGTTCAGATTTCTACTCTCAACTCTGTGCCACTGTGGAAACATTTAATAGTTTGTCATTAATGTAGAAAAAATATAATTACTTCAATTGTACACAATGTATTTTTATTATTTTGTGCTAAAATTAATTATTGTTTCCTTTATTTTTTTTACTTACCAGGGCTTTTGCTCGAGAGATGCTTGCTAGGAAAATAGGAGTGGTGGTGGTCGGCTTTCCGGCCACACCGATCACGGAGGCTCGGGCTCGCTTTTGTGTGTCTGCAGCGCACACTAGAGACATGCTGAACCAGGTACACGCCCAGCGTGACACCGGGTCACACCTGAAGTGACTTATTCACTTTAACATGACTGAGAATCCCTGTTGCCCCTCAGGTGCTGCACCATCTGAACGAGGTGGGAGACAATCTGTGCCTGAAGTTTTCCCGGAGGAAGCATCCGTCGCGTCCTGACCCCTGTGAAGAAACAAACAGCTGATGTTCCTCTCGCCGCCTGAACTTCTCGGTGTGAAAATGAAGCGTCCCTCGTGCACAGCGTAGGGTAACACCTACAGGACAGAACGGGACACATGCACGGCAGCTCCTTTTATGTGTTTACAACACAACGAGAATCAACAGGAGCTTATTTTCTTCTTTTAAACATGAATTACTGAAGCGTGTTTCTTAATATATTTACATTATTTTATTTTTATGAATACTGACCGGAAACTTGTGCACAAGCTGTCCTGGGATGGTTTTAACTTAAATAATTAGAAAAAAATCCATGTACAATGACGTAATTACATTTGTATTAGTTTAGAAGATCCAGTTTTAACATTTCAGCTCAAAAAGATGTAAAAGATGTTTTAACGTCCCCTTAATGATGAACTACTGACAAAAGAAAAGGTGTAAAACGGTGAATGTTGAAGACTGAACTGAATGTTTGCTGAGAACCCGCCCTTCTGTGTGCTGTTAGTGAGGATAAGTATTTGTATTTTTACTCTTTAGATCTGACTGACTTTGAACGTTTGCTAAATTATCTGACCGACGTCTTTCTAGAAGCTCTGAGCTTTCCACGTCGTCGCTTCTCAGGTTTTCTAATCCGTGATTATTTGCACAGCCGAAGTGAGAAGTTTTTATTCAACGCTCCTCTGCGTGACGCCACTTTCATCTCCACTGTAAAATGACGGCCTCCTTGTAAATAGATCACACAGCTATTGCCTCACCGACGCGTCGCCAAACCTCACACAAACACAAAAGGTGTTGCTGCAGGTTTTGTGGCCAGGGCGCGCACACGCGCCGAGTCTAACCGGCTTAATTGTTGATGTTTCAGAGACCCGTTGATCTCATTTTCACAAACTGTGTTGCACGTGTGAGGTTAAGCATGCAGAGCACGCATGCCTCAGCCAACCGAAGCCTAACCTAACAATTATCATTTGATTAATGTAGGAAGGATTATAGCAGGGTGATATAAGTGTTAGCACAATGTGTCAAACCGGGTCGAGTCAACACGTGTTTTTCTTTTCCTCAGGGACATGACGATGTTTGTGTGTTCATCTCCATAAACAACACCAGTTTCACAAGCTGACACCCAGATAAAGTACGCAGCACTTAGGAAAGGCACGGCGAATAAACTAAACACTGAATGTTGTGAAGATTAAATGAAACAAACTGAACTCTAAACTCTGCTGGATCGCTTTGTCCTGTAAGGCAACACTTCACATCTGGCTCGTGCCGCCAGAAACAATAAGAACCAGCTCCTCTAATCATCAGATCTGTGAAGTCATGGTAAAGCTGCAGAGGAGAAGCTTCAAGCCAGCCTCGTTGTATGAAGATGCACTAGCGTCCTCAGGAGGTCTGCTGTTGGTTTGTTTACCTTCGCTTTAACTGAGAGTGAGTTCCTTGTGCAGTGAAGCAAACATACAAATCTCCTTATCGATGGATTAATAAAGATTCTATTGTCATCAACAGTTTCCTCTCACTAGTATTGGTTTTAAAAGCAGTGCCACATGTGCAGAAGAAGACTGGCCAAGCGTCCGTCTAGTCCTCTTAACCCGCTTCAGCTTCACCACAAGCGCACGGCTTGCGTTGGCATCCCAAACGTCAGCGCAGCCAGTCCAGACTACGGGTGGTGAGTCCCCCGGAGACCTGCCTGCCTGCATCAGCCTCTTTTGAACTACGGATCCAAATACACTGCACTTATTGGAATGGCATGTGGCTGCCATTCTGAAGGGGGATCCTCTGCTACGCCTTTGATGTCCACCACTGGGTCCGTTGTCGCTCCTCTCTGTTTTCCATTTAGACAGAGATTGTTCTACTCGGGGAAGGGAGGTTGGAGGGAAGCAGATAAAGGGCAGAGTTGCATTGGTTTGGACTGCTGTACTCTGAGTACTTACCATTTAATGAAGGAGACCAAACTGGTACATTTTATAAGAATTTATGTCTTTGCCTCATCATACTGGACCACCATGTTGGGAGTAAAAGTTTGGTTTTAAGAATTATTTTCCTAAAACAAGCTGTTTCAAAACGTCTCCCTATTGTGATGTCATAGACAGGGAAATTAGAATAGAACCAACCCTCTCATGTGCAAGAGAGACCTGGTGCTGGAGGAGCAGTGGCTCTACTATGAGCTCCACCTAGATATCGGAGCTTCTCAGCTTATAGCAGCCTGAGCGGTGGATGGCTGGGCGTTGCCAGCTCCAGCTATTTTTTTTAAGTTACAAAGCCCCGAAACAGCTCATTCTGGAAGGTACTGAAAATTTCAAGAATGAAACTGTTGAGATTTGTGATTGTGAGAAGGGTTTAGTGCAAATAACTTAATACACATGTTTTGTATTGACCATATGACTGTTATAACTTAGGGAAAAGGATCGTAATACACCTCCCTTTAAGGAAAGATTGTGCTGCTGCTGATTCCCAGTGTGGCTCCCAAGGAATTATTCAGCTGATATTTAACAATTTAAAACTTCAAGAACTTTTATTTTCTTCCATTTCAGTCACATGAGCAGAAAGTACGTTATCTTTTGGTAGAATTTGGGGAGCTTTGGTCTTCTGGGAGGGAGGAAAGAGTTAATCAGAGGGGATGGCGCGCGCGCAGGGGCGTTTGGTATAAAACCAGCTCAGGACGCCAACAACACCAGCGTGCGACCAAGTCCTCGTGAAGCGGGTCTCTCGTTGGAAGCGTCCCTCTGGACTCAGAACCAACACTTGGAAGATCTGATGCGTGCGTTTCCTGGTTCGGGTTAACACCCCAACAGTCGCCGGATCATGCGCTGGATCATTACGCGCAGAGTGCGGACAACGCCAGAAGTGCGCAAACGCTGATGAGGCAAAGGTGATGAAACCTGTGGCATGATGAGGCTGCGAATGCGGCGGGGACACCAGCTGCAAGTTTCCTGAGCGTGGAGATTCGTGAGGGAGCGCGCAACAGAAGTGGATCGGCCCAGCTCAGATTTACACTTATGACTGATTAATTAAAGGAGATCACGTTAAAATAAAACTTATTTCACTTAGAAATACATAAATCCAGTGTTTTAAAAACCCAAACCCCTCACCCCCTTTTTTTATCCGTTTCCCCTCATTTTTTGCTGCTCTGATTCCCGAAGTGGCTCCTAAGGGGTGTTGCGGCTCCTCGTCCCCGGCGGATCCAGAGATCGGAGCCTCTGCACCGGGAGGGGGCGGAGTCGGCGCTCCGGCCACACCGCCAGCTCCTAAGAGCGGCCGCGTCAAGAGGATGGTGCGCCTGGCGGCAGAGCTGCTGCTGCTTCTGGGACTCCTGCTGCTCACCCTGCACATCACGGTGCTGCGCAGCAATCCGCTGCCTCAAGGGAATGTTACTGTGAGCCTGGATCAGGACACCGCACACCAAGAGGTGAGTCCGGAACGCGCCCCCTTATGTGGTGTATAACGCAGGAGTTTAGAGCCTCCATCCATCCCTCTCAGGAGGGGGCTGACATGGTTGTAGTCTCCCCAGAAGTACCCCAGAGGGGTAGGAGCTGATCCCGGGTCAGGGATCAGCCCTCCATAGCAGACACACCTCCTGTTGTTGGGGGTTAAACAGGAGCTGCAGGCACTTCTCTTCTGTCACCAGGGGCTCATCACTGTCAATCAGGTCTAATCTGAGTCCCCCCCCACCCCCCCCACCCCCAAAGCCCCCATTGTAATATTTCCAGCTTGTTGTAAAACCAAGCATTTGTCTCCAGAATGCAGATCTGTAAAGCTCCCAGTCTGGTCAGACACCCTTCAGGACTGGGATCCACAATGGGAAGACATTTGTCAACATGACACCTCTGGAGACAAGTTTAATGGCTTAACTCTCCGTTTTACCACCAGCCGGAGCTCCTGGTAGAGCTCCTGAATCCTGACCAGAGGGGTTATGACGGGTCTGGGATCAGCGGGCTCCTTTAGAGTGTTAAGCATCCTTCAGCTGCTTTTTGATGTATATTTAGAATTCCACTCCAACTCTTTCCTTCGGTCTCAGGGGATCGACACTTTCCCACCAACGCTTTAGCGGGACTCGGGTAAAACGATGGAAGGGGTTTTCATTTATCTCATTCTTAGCCTTTGTTTATTTGTGTGTTTTATTATTTTTTTGGGCCACGAGAAACTGAGGACACAATCCAGGAATTCATGGAATATTTGTCACCCAGCCAAAAGGTGGATGAGGAGGATGGGGAGCAGCAGGAAGTTTCTCCTGAGGAACCAACGGAAAAACATCCCATTCTACCTGTTTACATAAACATTCTTTAAATGTTTTATTCTTTTTAGCCCTCACTAAGTCTCCATCAGAAAGTGTGATGTCATCTTTCACATGCATGTCACAGCCCAGGGCGCGTTTTGTCGTCTAAAGGTGTCGCAATAAAAATACCAAAAAGAACCATTCAGCGAAACCCAATGGCTTTACGCTCACTGACCCAGAGCGGGGACTTCCTGTACAACACAAATTAGTTTCCACTCCTTTAGTCTTTTATTCCCAATATTTGTTTGATTGGGCAAATAAACGTTGGTGTCCACCCACGAGGTGTGTGACAACGGATGGGCGATTCTCTTTTTGCACCCTGAAAAGCATCGGGTGCGATGTAGAGGGCCTTCATTTCCTGTTACCCTCTATGGCGGGGGGGGGGGGGGGGGGGGGCTGAGTGGCTCCCAAATGAAAATAGAGTCATGCCACTTTAAGCAGCTC